ACGCCTTCCCTTGTTCTATTTATGCATATCTGCATCATCCTTATTAAGTCCTTGTTTCCTCCATAAAGTTTTCCTAGCTATTCCAAACCTCTCCGATTTCTTCCTTTTCTAAACATTCACCTAACATTTGTATAGTGGGGGGATGTGCTGAAAAGTGTTTGTCCACTATGCCAAATAACCCTCAAATCTCAAGCACCTGACTTTCACACGGAATCTCTTAGTTTACCTGCCTTTGCGGTGTGAAAATCTCATAGCCCCACGGTTACAATCTCATGAACCTGTTTTTAAGACCGAGTCTACCATTAGTTTAGTATTTCATTACTTAGCGCACAATTTGCAATAAACAGGTTCTGCTTAAGGGAACGGTTCAACTTGAATTTCTTAAAATTGGAGAGCATAAAATTATTACACCTAGAAGCAGAAAAGTTGAAGACTATGTAGAATATTCATTAATAAGTTTATTGCATAAACAAATTGTGGTATATTCATAAATGGAATGCGACAGAGCAAGAAAAAATAAACTGCTGAAGATATGAAATAATGTGGACGAATTTCAAAACCATAATGTTGATTGAAAGAAGCCAGACATAATATATACACGAGTACAAACTTTATCATTCTGTATATGTAGCATTCAGGCCAGTGTAGCTCAGTTGGTTGGAGCACCTTCCTATAAACCAAAAGGTCCTGGGTTCGTTTCCCCATCAGGCACATGCCTAGGTTGTATACGTAGCATTCAAGAACAGGCAAAACTAATCTATGGTGATAGAAATCAGACTAGGGAATACTTCTGCCGGGGAATTGAGTGGAAAGGGATAGGAAGGACCTTTCTGGGGTGGAGCAAATCTCATATATCTTGCAGTGGGAATTGTTAAAGGGGTATATATACAAAAAGAAAAATTCATTGTCGTATGCAGTTTCCTGTAAGTTAAGAATTGCTTAATGTAAAAATTTAAAAAGATGCAAACATTTAGCTATGACAGTTGGCTTTAAATCCGAACAAGCACGGCTAGATTGTCTCCCCTGACAGTTAAACCTCTCCTGCTCCAAAAACCGTCTACACAATGTCCTCCCCACATCGCTTTTGAGTCTGTGAATATACATTGAGATCATTTATATATATATAAACAGTACATTATTTCTCCCTTTTAACACAATGTCCTTCCTCTTTTTGCATGATAGTATACTAAACATTGTTCTGCATATTCTTTTTACTTAAGCATAGAGCTTTGTGATGAGATTTTTAAAAGATTGCACAGAATTCCATTGTATGCAGATTCACCATGAGAGATGTACACCAAAATCACTTAAATAAAATATATCAGCTTGACACAGATAAAAAAGTTTGACAATAATGTTGCCAGGGTATAGAGATATAGAAAACCTCACACATTGTAGATGGAATATAAATTGATACCTTCTATGGAGGCCAATTTATCAAAGTTAGAAATGCACATTATTTTTTGATACAGCAATTGAGCCAAGTTGAGCATATTTCATCTGCTTAAGAGCTGTTTTACTTCCTTTTCTGTGAACTATTTGTTCATATCTTTTTCCATTTTTCTATTAATTTATTATTGTTTCTGCTTGATCTATAGGAATTCTTTATAGATTAGGAAACTTCACCCTATGTGAAGTGTGTTGCAAAATTTTTTAAGTTTGTCATATGTCTATTAGTCAAAAGACTGTTTTTCCTGTCATCAGAAATTTAAATAGTTGAAGTTAACAATAATACTTGTAAATGCCTTCCCTAGTGTGAAATTATTTAAAATCTCAGCTGATGTCTCTCCCCCTCTTCCTCTCCTTTCTAAAAATAAATAAATAAAATCAAAAATAAAATGAAATAAAAATGCCATGGCTGGTGTGGCTCCGTGGTTTGAGTGCCGGCCTGCAAACCAAAAGGTCACTGGTTCAGTTCCCAGTCAGGGCACAGGCCTGGGTTGCGGGCCAGCGCCCAGCTCAGAGGGTTTATGAGAGGCAACCAATTGTTTCTCTCGCACATCCATGTTTCTCTCCCTCTCTTTCTCCTTCACTTCCCTTCTTTCTATAAATAAATAAATAAATAAAGTAAAAAATGAAATCTCAGCTGATTTCTTCTGAAGTTGTTATGCTTTCATTTTTTTACATTTAAAACTTTGATTCGCTAGAAATTTATCCTTTTACAAGGTGTGATATAACTTTATTCTTGCCCAGGTGCCTATTTGGTTTTCTTAAACCATTTATTGAATAATTAACTTTCTACTCACTGATTTGAAATTAACTGTATAATTCACAAGAGAAAGACAAGAAATGAAAGATGGACAATAAGAAAAATGAACGATGATTCTAAACAGGAAATTTACAAAGAGAAAACGGAAAAGACTAACAGGTATATGAAAGAGATGTTCGAATACCTTCGTCACCGGAGAAATGCAAATTAAAATAACTGGCAAAAATTATACTGGATTTGATGGTGGCAATGCAGCGGAATGCAGGAAGTGACGTAGGAATTCACATGCACTGATGCAGCCATTGTGGAGAGCACCCCCTAACCGCGTATGCGTATCTTGGGACCCAGCAGTTCTCACCTCAGTATTTTCCCCAAATACATTTCCACACAGATCTGAAGGCACATGAGTGAGGGTGCTCATGGCAGCACTGTGGTGGTGAGGGGGAGCAGGAGGCCAAGTGAATGCCTGTTGCTAATAGGTAAAATATGCTATTGCTGATTACTACTCAGAAGTTATAAACCAAATGTATTACTATAAACAGCAACATGGGTGGATCTTAAAAATACAGTATTGAGTAAAAAAGGATACAAAATGAGATATATAAAAATTTACAAATACTGTATGCATATAAAATAATACACAAGCTCACATACAAACAAAATGTTAGGCTTTAGAATTTCTGTTGGACATATGGGACGCTAAGAGAAATTTCAGAGAGTGATTGATAAAGGCCTTGCATATACCAATGATGGTAATGCACCACAAACTAAAGTATGATTAATTCAACCTTCTTTGCCTGAAATGGAAATTAAAAAAAAAAAAAAAAGAAAAAGCTCCTCAAATTCACCCATAATCTCCTTTTGCCAAACACAGGAATCATCTCCCTGAGCTCACCTTACCAGACGTGGTAGTATTAAATACAGTCAGTCGATTATGCCCACTTTCTTCAAATGCTTTCCTTCAAATATCATGTTACTTCTTAAAATTTTCCAATGGCTCTGGTTTTGATTAATAATAAAATCCGAACTCCTTTCCTCCTCCTGTGACCTGGCCCCTACCTCTTGCTGTGTTTGTCTCTTGTATCTCTTCCCCCGCTTGCTCCCTGTGCTCCAGCCATTTTGACTTTTCTTCCAACCCTGCAAGCTCACTCCCTATGCAGGCTTTCTTTTTGCTTTCTCCATGATACCCTTCCTTAGGATCTTCTCAAAACATTCTGGTCCTAAGTGACTTCCTCAGAGAAGACTAACACAAGAAGTCGTGAACTGTGATCCATTCTACCTATTTATGTTGATTCTGTTTGTCTCTTGCTATTGTCAATTAAGTTTTCCCCATTGTTTAATTCCAGAGGGCAAACCATGTTAGTTTGCAGGTAAGTTGCAGCTAGGACAGAGAAGGATATAATACAGGGGTGGGCAAACGTTGGTTTACAGTTCTATTATTTTAAAATAATACAAATAAATACAATAATAAATTAATAATACAACTATAAGCCTACTTTTGCCCATCCCTGTATAAAAAAACAAACAAACAAACAGTGTTTTGGAAGCATTAATATAGCCCCTTTACCAGACAGGCAGGAAGTGACTGAAGACAGAAAGGTGAATACAGTGCTACTAAGACAATTCCAAAATGAGACCCTAATGTAGACTCGGAAAAGGAACAATGGGAAAGAGGATACTGTAGGTAAAACAGAGTGCCAAGGAGAAATGGCAGCATTTTAGAGCTGGGGAGGGACCTCTGGAACCATTTATTCCATCACCATCTTCATACAGATAGGGAAATAGAGCAAAAAACAACCTGCTCAGAAATGGTCTGTGACGTCACACTCACTCGAAGAGTCAATAGGTGACATTGTTCTCATCCGCTTAGTGGACTTAACAGATTCCCTTTGGGATGCGGAAGACGAGCCCAGAAATTTACTTTATACTGAATGGATTAAAACGGACAGCAGTCGTCATTCATTTAAATTCCAATTAGTTTATCAAGGCGTGCTTACAAGTCACGCCCAACTCAGGTTTCTCCCCACCCTGAAACGGGTTTTTTTAGCATTTACTTTCGGAGAGTACGTCCCCTAAAATATAACCAAACCCTCAAGTTTGCGATTAATATCAACAGTTTAGGCTTTATGAACGAGCCCAGAACAGTTTCACTTGCTCGAACAATTTCCCAACTGCAAAACGCTATTGAGCATTTTACGACGGTGCCACACACAATGTCCCCCGCGGCCAGAAGAGAAAAACAGGAGTCGGTCTAGGAAAGGGAGGCCTGTGGGAGTCAGCGTGGCGCTTTGCGGAAGGAAGCCTAAGGGCGAGTCCGGCTGGAGTTGGCCGTTTCCTTTCTTCCCTCGATAACTTAGGGCTGCGGGGGCGCTGGGAGGGCAGGTACACCGGCTGGTCCTTGCGTCCCTCTACCCTTTCTCCAAATCCGCCTTGAATATCCAGCTGACAACCCCAACTCTCTAGAGCCACAGCAGAGGGCACATGCCGGGCGGGACCCACCGCCATTAAACAAGCCGGTCCCCGGAACATCCAGACGCTCGCCCTTGGCAAGTGCCTCCGGTTTCCGGATGTGAACGGAAAGCTCCTCGGGAACCCCTATACTCCTCCCTTTTAGGAAGGGCGCACACGGCGTCTTCCGTTCCCAAGGAAACGGGCCCTGCCATGGCGTCACTTCCGCTGACCTGTCTGGGCTCCCAGACTGTTGGGAGGAAAAGAGGAAAACTGAGCCACAGCCACGACGGTGGACGCGAGCGTCTCCAGTTTGCGCATGCGCCCGCTCAGTGGCCTGCTTCTATTTATGTGGGGGATCCAACATGGCGGCTGCGGCGATCCTGGCGATGGCTGTGGAGCCCATCAGAACATAGTGGCGGGGAAGGGGGCACGGTCCGCACTCACGGTGGCGTCGGCGGAGACGGCTGAGGGTGGTGGAGGGAAGAAAAGCGACGGAGAGCAAAAGGAAGGGCGGGCAGGCAAAGCACTCGGCATAGAACCGAGCGCCGGGGCGAGTGAGGGCAGAGGGCCAGAACAGTAGGGATGGCGGAGCCTCGCAGAGTAGCGTTTATTAGCCTGTCACCGGTGAGAAGGCGCGAGGCCGAATACGCAGGGGCCGAACGCGAGCCGGAGTACCCTCGCGAGCCCCCCCGGCTGGAGCCGCAGCCGCACCGCGAGCAGGTCCGGGCGGAGCAGCCGGTCCCGCGGGAGGCTGCCCCCCGGTCCGATGCGCAGCCCCCGCCGCGGGAGAAACCGCTCCCCCAGCGCGAGGTCAGCCGCGCCGAGCCGCCTATGTCGCTGCAGCGCGAGCCCCCGCGGCCCGAGCCGCCGCCGCCGCCGCCGCCGCCGCCCCCGCAGCTGCACTTGCAGCCGCCCCCGCCGCGCGAGTCGGCTTCCCGGGCCGAGCCGCAACAGAGGCCGCCGAGGGAGACGGTGCGCTTGGAGCTGGTGCTCAAGGATCCCACGGACGAGAGCTGCGTGGAGTTCAGTTACCCGGAGCTGCTCTTGTGCGGAGAACAACGGGTACAGAAGGTTCCTCCCTCATCCCCCCAGACCCCGGGAGCCTCAGGACCCGTCCGTCTTCCCCAGTGGTTTGCACCTTCTGAAGCCCACCCTGCGCGCCTCGGGTCGCCCGGGAGGGTGGGCTTGAGGGGGCTGAGGCTGAGAGGGTGGACGAGCGGTTGGTGCTACTTTCGTCTGCTCCCCAGGGTTGGCGGAGGCTCCCACCCGGCTCCACGAATCCACCCCCCCACCCCCGCCTCGTGCGTCCAAAGCCGCTCGGAGCCGGTTTTCTTCTTCATCTTTCGAAACCTCAGATTATCTGAGTTCCCTGCAAGTTGCGTGGCTAGGTTTTCCGTATGGAGCTCCAGCTGTCCTTCCCAGTACACAGGAGGAGAAAACCTTGGGGGACACGCCCCCCCCCCCCCCCCAATCAAGCAGGGACATCGTGTGACCCCCTCTAGTATTACCCTTACCTTCATCTCTATTTGTTACGGTTGGCGCAGTGGCTGCTGAGATGCACTTGCGACCGTGGAGGATTTTTCTTAATTGAAGGGTGTTTAAAAGTAATCTCAACATTTTCAGACTAAGAATTCCACTTTAAGGATGAAGGAGAAATGTTAGTTATCTGGCTATTTATTTTTTTATTCTCGTGTTGGTATTGGTAAACATTTTTATCTTTATTTTTCTCCGGAGTTCATATTGTAATTGAATGAGGAGGTGACTCCTATTTTATACGGCGCCTACTATCATTTTCTTATTTGAATGCATATCATTAGTTTATAGGTCCGAGTTGGAGGATATTGCACTTGGGTATTGTAATTTTGGGAGAATGGTGAAAAAATCTTAGCGTTGAATTTTTAAAAACTTCATCGAAAAAAATAGCTATGCCTCTGATGGAACCGGTGAACAATGGAGGTAGGAGAGAGATTTGTTGGTAACTGTAATTTTTATTGCGGTGCATTTGTGATTTTAGAAGTGAACTAAATAGGAAAATGACCGTAACAGTGATTAGAGTACAGTTCCCTCTGTTGTTTAGAAGTCATGTTCTTTATTAGGTTTTGCTTTAGCACAGGCCTGTCTGGTGGACTCCGGAAGTCACCTGTTTAGTTTTTATCCTCAACTGTCTTTATAGTTGAAATAAATGACTTATTAGTTTAAAAATACCTTAAACAATGTCACTAGGTTTTGGGGTTTTTTTAATGGCCAACTAATCTTTTGATTATTATTTACAAATATTGTCGTGTGGTCAAATCATTACTAAATGTTTTCAAACAAATGAATTAAGGGGAGAGATCATTTTGGTCACTTCATCATAATATTTTGTCCTTCCGACTCGTTTTAGTGCCCCTGTTATTTATGAATGTCATGTCATTCCCCCCCTCAATTTTTGAAAATACTATATTAGAGCATTTTTCAAATAAATTGTATTTCTTCTAGTAATCCAGGTTGGTTTGCAGTTTTACTCCCTAATCTGTTTTATAAGTTGCAAGTGAAAAGCATTGTATTTGGGTAAAAAATACATAAAAATGGCTAATATTTACGGCGTTCCTACAGGGTGCTAGGCACAGTTCTCAGTCCGGTGCCTAGTTGGTCCATTCCCATGCAGCAGAGCTCCATGAGTTAGGAACCGTTTTCTCTCCACTTTACAAAGGAGCAGGCTAATGCATCTTTGCAACAAAGATTTATCAGGTTTTCCTGTGGTTGCTCCCAGTGAACATATTCATTACATAATTGCAGAAAACACCTTTCTAAAAAAGTTGTCCTAGACCATGAAAGGAAATGCTTGGAAGCGAGACCATCACAAGGCAAAATGTGTTCATTAGAATTGGTCTGGAAAGTGACAGTTCCCAAAGTTGGTTTTTCTTCCCCTCAGGGCAAGTCCATTCATTTTTAGGGATGCTGTAATATTTTCCAAATAGCTTAAATTTTCAATTACTGTTATTGAACAACATACCATACATATAGCAGGGTAGGAGCAGAAAGGGGAGGAAAAGAGATCTTGTAAAAAAAAAAAATTAAGAGAAAAAGATTCTAAAATTTTGAAGTAGCTATCATCGAATAAGAAGATTTTAGCTTCAGATCCTTGAGTTGATAGGTGTATGTGTTATCTGTGAACACCATCTATTTGTATTTAGGTCACCCCCCTTCATAAATATACAATGGACTGTAACACCCTGATTAACTGAATTCAATCAGAATATTTTGTATACTCTATATTTTATTAATGAGGAAGAACACAATTAAATGAGCATATGTTGGCAAAATATGAAAATCAAAACTTCTGTCAAGGTTGTCAGGACACAGGTTAGCCAAACCCTCAACCTTTGCCACCTCTGTGGAATATTGAGTCCTGACTGGGGTGGTTCAGGTTGATGACTAAGGCATTGGAATCATCTCTATCCTGAATGATTGGTTTGCCATTTCCGACGAAAGGGAAATAGTACAATTTTGAAATACATTTTAGGGGTAATTGATACCCAAGAAAATTTTTTTTAAACTCTTAGTAAACAAACAAACAAAGGGTTAACCAGAACACACATTTGTTTGGCCTTTTTGTTTCTTGTATATCCAGAATGATAATTGAACATTTACTGTACAAGGAAAAAGAAATGATAATAGAGTTAATATGATAATGCTATTACAGAACTCTGTGATATTCCATTGTTTTTTGGAAATTTTGGATAGCATACATATATGAAAGATTTCCTGAAAATGATGTCAAGTTATGGTCAGAGGACAAAATTGCCTCAGTTTTACCTGGTGGCAGTTGGAAATTTTGATATTTGCTATTTTCAGATCTTTTTCACCCAAAAAGCAATTTACCTAATTAGAGCTTTGATTGTGGGTAGGGAGTTATTTCTTAACTGTGAAAGAAAAATGAGTCAGCTTTTGTAAATTTATTTTTGTATACTGTTAAATAAATACAAGATTTACTTTTGATGCCTACATAAAATATCTTAGAATGACATATAAGGTGATTCCTATTAAAAATCATATCCATGTATTAATGTTTGCACATGTTAAATGGGTCAGGCCAATAGTAAGACCTAGTATTTGGACTTTGATGTGCAGGAACAGTTTATAATGGCAGTACATGGTCGTTGCTCACTGTCCTTAACTTTAGTCTCAACATAAGGCTATGCCCTAAACATCCCTTAATAAGAAATAAACATTTCTTATTTCATTATCAGCCTGTTCTGGCCCGTTTATTTCCTTTCAGATCATGTTTATATTTTCCATTGGTAACTCCTATTGGGATAAAGGATTCTGTAAATCTGTTACTTACTACAATAATTTAAAAAATTGATTTTAAAATTATTTCCTTTAAGCTTTAAGGTATATCCCTTTATTCTGTTCATTTTTTTCTGTCATATTTTTTAAAGTGATCATATCTCAGCTTTTGTATCCAGAGTGAAGTGTCTAGTTCCAAAGTGTGCAAATATTTGTCCCTTCTGCATATTTTTCTTGCCTTTCAGGGTCAGCCAAATCTGTATCCAATATTCTAGCTTGTCACATCCTTTTCATTTCTAATTCCTTGAAGATGCTACTTCAGTAAAAATATCTAGCCTCCCTTTTAAAAAAAAAAAAAAAATCCTTTCTAGTCAGTTTTCTTGTAGCTCTTTGTTTTGGATTTTTTTTTTTTTTTTGTATATTGAAAAACCATATATATGGAATGTGTCTGCTTAAATAGTAAACTTGAGTATAGGAATAAAGGATGTGACTTACCTTTCTCTTTGGTTTTTTTTATCTTTTGTTTGTTTTGGTTAAAATTAAAAATGTGGGATCCTAGCTGTGTGGTGTTTTCTGTTGCTGTTTTTTGGAAAACCATGTATTATAATAAACTTTCACTCTCCTCTGCTGGAAGTAAACCATGTAGTGTTTTCTCTTTGCAGCGATTTCATTTTTCTAGCTTTGTGTAAAAGTGAAACATACTCCCTGAATGGATATCCATTGACAGGATGTTGGTGATGTAGAGGTTGATACCGGGCCTCAGCAGAAAGCCAAGGCAGCTATAGGGAATCCAGTGATAACTCAGGGCAGATGATTAAATGCTGACTCTGAAATTAATAACCTAGGGATCCTTTTAGGAGCGTTTCTGGACCAAAGCAGTTAATCTTTGTTGGGAGGATCTCAAACTAGAGTTATAAGTGGGATTTTTACTTTTACCTAATTTTCTTGGGGTTCTTTTGCCTCTTGTTGAGTGGTGTGACCATACAATCAGTATTTACAGGTAAAGAGAGTCTGAATTGTTAAGTTCTTAATCACCAGGAAAACTATAGAACGTGTAAGAATCCATTAAAACCATAAATATTTACTACAAAACCAGCATTTCTTTCTACTTTTAATGCTTCTAACATTAATATTTGGAAAAGTTGGCTTTCATTATTAAACTTAAGGATATATTCAATTCTGAATTAGTACTAATACCTCTTATTTCTTTTCCCATTCACTCTGAATCAGAAGAAGCCCGTTCACACAGAAGACCCATTTAATGATGAGCATCAAGAGAGGCAAGAAGTGGAAATGTTGGCTAAGAAGTTTGAAATGAAATATGTAAGTATAATAAAGTGCTCGCTTAGGTAATTTTATCCTGTTGGCCTATTTTTCTGTGATTGGTTGAGAGGGCTTATAATGTCTGTTGTCCACCTTATCTGTTCTCATAAATTTAATCCAAATATGGTAAATGGTTATAGGTTTGTGATAGTTATAATAGCAGCCATCGTTATTTTATTCCTTCTAGAGTCAGGCAGTTTGCCTAACATATACTCTCTTCAGTCCTTATATCTGCAAGGTAAGCAGCACTGACAAAGGTTAAGGAACTGACCTAAGATCACGGAGTGGCAAGAGCTAGGCTGCGTATTCAGGTCTGCCCAGCTCTAATCCTTTGCCCTGTCTGCTGCTGTGGAGAATGCAAGCTTGGTGCCCTTGGTGTGGTAGTTCTCAACCCCTTCAGTCCCTTAAGAGTTAAGAGAATGAATGCATGTACTTCTGAGGCCCGTGGGATCAGAGTTAGTCAGAAGCAGCATGACATTTCTTTGAAAGTATCTTGTTTACTTTAACAATTTATGTACTTTTAATATTCTGTGTCCCAGTAGATTGGTGCTTGTTTTTTTTGTTTGTTTGTTTTTTTGTTGGGGTTTTTTTTTTTTTGGCACATAGCTTTTCTTTTTATTGTATTAGTGAAAGTTATACTTCAAACTGAAGCTAAGCAACATTAAAAATCAAGGATTAAAAACAAATGCAGCATACAAAGAACTTTATTTTTTAAAGGCTGATGCTTTTTCATTGTATGGATATATCACAATTTATTTAACCAGGCACCAAATAATTTAGGTTGTTTCCAAAAATTTGCTCTTGTAAATAGCGCTATAGTAAATTATTAGTAGCATGGCATTAAATCTTATAGGAGAGTCCTCGGATGGTACTTGACGTAGAAAAACCAGTGCTGTGAAATTGGTTGATGTGTGAAAGTGGGTTCCAAATAATTGGCGTGTATCTAGGCACTGCCATTGTGCAGGGGTAAAATGATACTTTTGTTCTAATCCAAACTAAGGGGCTGTATTTCTTTTCCAGATTTTTATTTCAGCTATTCATTTTCTTACTTTCATTCTAAGTAGAGATTTAAAGTGCCTTGCCTCATGAAGACTTTATGTGCATAAACTTGAAAGCAAGTCATGAATATTATGAATATTAAATATATATATGTTATAACAAACTATTTGGAACCTTTTAAGAAAATCATTAGGCTAAAAACGACCTGGCAGAGGATACTTCCTGTAGCTCTAGGCTGTCCCAAAAGATCACTCAAACAACAAAGGTTTATGTTGTTGTTCAGGGGGTAGCAAATTCAGATGTCTATATGTATATTTCTACATATGCTATGTATACGTGTGTGTGTGTGTGTATTTATATTTTAAGTAAAATAAGATCTTTTAAATATTATGTGTAAAATCTTGCAAAATGTTAACCCACCACAATTGGATTTTTTTTTATATATATATCTTATATATATATATATATTTTTTTGCTGTTGAGAAAAAAGAGAACTTGATTCTTCAAGGCTTATGAAACAAATAAAACTCGTATCCCTTCATACTATTTTTGTTTACTTCATATTATAATTTAGATGTCTTTGTCATTATTTCTGAAAGTTGCCGAAGGTTGCTTTCTAGCCCTTTGTTTCTTGGGACGAGAAAGGCAATTCCTAGTTAAATTTTGCGTATAAATAATAAACTATTTCAGCATTTACACAGGACACACAAAGGGGCATAACAGTTGCCCTCTCCTGGAAAAACTTTCAAAATAGTAAGACAAGAAGTATATGTGTAATACACAAATACAATGCCAAGCAGTTCCCATAGAAACAAATGACTCTCCTGTGGGGATTTGAAAGTGAGTGAAGGGCCATTTCTGTTCTTGAAATCAGAATGAATTTTGGAGACTTTGGTGCATTAATTGAGTGGATACCTACAATCTCCTGTGGAACTTCATTTCTCTGTAATTCCTGAAATAGCTTTTCTACCCTTTGTAGGATAGCAGTGGATGAGAGGCAGGTAGTGGAAGGAGCACAGGATAACCCAACTGGATTCGGATCCTGCCTTTCCCATATTAACACGGGCAACCTTAGTGAGGGCTCTTGGCTTTTTCCTGCGTTGGTACCTGTGAGAGGCACTAAGATCTGCCTGGCCAGCCTTACAGCACAAGGATTTTATCAACATCAGATGAAAAAAATAGAATATTCATGTTTGAAATATTGAAAGGGCTATCTATCTGTGAAGTACTGTCTCGTCAGTTAGACGCATCTCTCTTGTGGAATACTGCTCTTATTCTGTACATGTCATAAATTCTTTTTTAAACACGAACAACTATGGGATTTTTAACCTCTATTAATTGAATACCCCACTGAATACCCCTTCTTGAAGACCACAACGAATTATTTGGAACCTTTCATGAGAATCATCAGGGCAGAAAGGGCCTGGGAGAAGGTGCCTTGTCCAGGGTAGGCTCTTGCAAAGGGTCGCTTTTACACTGCACGTGAAGGTCTTCATTGACCTGTAGCTTACTGTCCTGTAGTTCAGGAGTAGCAAATTCAGATGTCCCCGAGATTTTTGCTGCTTAATCAGTGAAGTAGGCCAGAGAGACAATAAATGTGGGCAGTTGTCCCGGACAGCAGAGAGCACGTGCCCAGTCTGTCTGAAGGGCCAGCTGCGGCTCGGCTCTGTCCCTTGGTTACTTTGCAGGAACTTGGGCTTTGGTTCCTCTAGCATCTCTTTTTTTAAAATTTATTTTATTTTTCATGGATTTTATTGGGGTGACGTTCGTTAATAAAATTATATAGATTTTAGGTGTACAGTTCTATAATACATTATCTATTGTACTGTGTATTCACCAACCCAAGTCAAGTCTCCTTAACCTCTTTCTTTTAAATGTTGGTTTTTAATTAGAACACCTGGTGAGCCAAACAAAATACATCTGTGGGCCAGATTTTCAAGGCCTCGTTTGAAACCTGGATGCACTTGCTTTACTATTTTTTTCTAATATATTTAACTCATCATTCCATCTACTTTCACATTTTGCCCTTTCGCTGCTGCGAGCAGAGTGGTTGGTGGTATATGTGGGAGGATATGCTATTTCCATTGTGGAGGAAAATGTGTGTGTAAGAAGTTTCAAAGAACTGAGCAAGTTAATTCAACTGGGGGTTTCCAGGTTTGGGCAACAGTAATGGGTGATGTTAATGATGGGTTCTGTGGTTGATCGAAGGCCCAAGCGGCAAGTGTATGGGCTTTTTGTGGTCTTTCGCGTGTGTAGCTGTCGCTTGTGCTGGAGGGGGGTTGCATGAGTGGAGCAGGCTGCCGCTTAGGGGAGACGGGGAGGACGACCTAGAGGACAGGACGTGTCCTTTCTCTCGTAGTAGGTGTTTTGGGTAGAAGGATTGAGACAGATCTGGAAGTTGAAAAGCAGTGACAACAGAAATTACAGGGAGTGCAGACTTGTAGAAGGAGCACCCCGTATTGAATGCTCTCTGGTTTTCTTTTCCTGTTCTCTCCTGCTTTTATTGCCTGTGTCCTATTTCCTGTTGGGTTGGTCTTTTGGTGATATGACAGTGCATATTCAACATCAATTGCGAAATGTTTTTTGGGGAGACAGGAGCATGACCTAACATTTACTAACTTGGTTATTGAATATAAATCTTATTAAATAGCTAAGTTCAAGTTTTGACATCACTATTACTCTATGAGGAGGAAAGCAGGATACAGTTTAAGTAGCCTCTCTGCCTTTCCTTGTTCCTAGTTTTAAGGCTCCAAATATTTAGGCTAAGTATCCTAGTTTCCAATTCAGTTTTTAGATGCTTTCTAAGTTGAGTATGCTTTTTCTGAGGTCATGTATATTCTGGAACAGGGAATAAGGTTGGGTTTGGTGGGTATAGATTTGTTCTCTAAGCCTGTTAGGTCAGATGGTTGGAAGATAACTTTTAGTGTTCCTTTTTTTTTTCCTCACTCTGTTAACCCTGCCATCTTGAAAGATCATGCTATCCTAGAATTGGGTAGAAATTCAGTACTAAATGAAGGCACTTAGAATGGAAGTTTGTACCTAGCAGGGGCTCAGGTAAAACGATTTGAATCTGAATGACTTGCTGAATAGGAAGACTTGTGGGGCCAGACATTTATTGGCATTTATGAGACCACCTTATGACTTTAAAATCTGCTTACTATACTATGTAGACTTTGAGTACCACCCAATTTGATGCTTAATTCGATGTGATTTTGGACTCTCAGAGTCTAGCTTCGTATTTATTTTAAAGGGGAAGGATAAAGGTATGTGATGGTATGAAGCTAATTTCTGAGTAGCCTTTATAAATAAAACAGTTGATCAAATGGAATTAACATTGCTTTTACTCAAAAACAAAGTATATTCATAAAAAGTCTTGATTTTCTTTTGGTGTGGCTTTTAAAACTGATTTTGTCCACATAGCTTTTAAAGAATGGCAATATCTTAGAATAACTATGTTATTTCCAGTGTGTGACTTTATAGTAGGTACTACTCAATTGTGTGGAAAGGATTTCTATTTTTATACTTAAGATAATTATGGATTGCTTAAAATGTGTCCTCAAATATGGGACTGACACACGTGGATGTTGAAAAGCATTTATGTGCTCTCCTGGGAGTTTTAAGAATTCCGTCAGTTATTCATATTGTTAGTCGATCATCTGTCTACATTTGCCAAGGGTTTTTGGGAACTCCTTGGCTGGTTTTCCTGTTTGTTTTGGCCTTAATGTTGTGTCTGGTCACTAAGGATCAACTTGGTAGGAAGGATTCTCTGGGTAAAGCAGTTTGGGCAAACTTATTACTACCACTGCGACAAAATAAATTCTACTAATAAAGAACGAATGACTGTGTATTTAGTTTCTGTAGACCAACAACAGTATGATATTACATATACAATAAAAACATAAAATAACATTTTGAAAAAAACTAGTGGGGGGTGTTAAGGAGGAATTCTCAACTCGAATAGTAGTTTCTTTATTGCAGTTAATGATTGTAATCACTTGCCA